AATTCTTATGGATTGTATTGCCCACTTTTTGTACAAACAACTAATGTATACCACACCAAAAACAAAAAAAAAAGTAAATTATAAAAAAATATAAATTATACTACTTATGAATAAAATTTTAGCAAAACTTCAATATAGAAATTTAATTACTAATTTTGCATTTTAAAATGTGAAAAAAAATAAGTAAAAAACTACAATAAAAATTGATAAAAAGTTACAAAAATATCTTTTGCCTTATCTATATAATTACAAATGCCTTTTTCAATACTCATAAAAATTATGCTACACAGTAGCTTATTTACTCCCATGAGTACTACACAGTAGCCTATTTAATCAAGAATATCTTTCATTAACCAATTTTTCCATACTTTCCATTCAAAAGTTCTATTTATTTATTTATTTATTTTTAATTATATGTTTTATAAGCAATGAACCGGTGAAGAAAGTTAAAACTTTCAATTTCCTTTTCCTTTTCCTTCCTTTTTCTCACATACCAAACAACAATGCAAAAGATTCAAACTTCATTTTCCTCTTTCTCTCAACAATCAACTGCCAAACTTAAAAGAGAGAGAGTGAGAGTCTAAAAAAACAGAGATCGAAGTACTAACCAGAGCGTCAAGAAACAATCTGCAAGTAAGAACAAAACACAATCAGAAATCAAACAAAAAATTGAAAAAGAACAAAAATGAAAAATTCTGACAAACCGTCATTTTGTCAACCCATATTTGGTGAGTAAAAATATGACTATTGATAATTAAATAAAGTCTCAACCCATTTAACTAAGATGAAATAAAAATGATTCTTAATTTGAAATCCATTTTTCCTTAACCCCCATTTGATAGAGAGAGAAAAGTGGGTGTTGAAACCCAATTGATTATTAAACAAAAAAACACAATACAGAATTTCATTTTGTATTTTGAGATATTTGATAAAAATTGTAAAATGTTGAACATTTTTGTTTTTGCTATTAAAGCTTATCCTCAACAGCAGCAGCATTTAATAGATTATAGGAATTATTATCACCAAAAACATGGTGCAAAATAAAATGGACTTTGGATAATGCAACAAAATAAAACAGGGTGCAAACAACCCTATAATCCATCATATTTTTAACCCATTTCAATATTTACAAAATAGAAAGACACCCTATAATGTTTCAATTTCAGTGTGGTCCGAATATAATTGTCATTGGTAGGGTTTAATGAGATTTTTGCTTCAGAATTTTTTTTTAAAGAGAGTCTCAACCCATAAGATGAAATAAAAATGATTCTTAACAAGAAATCCATTTTTCCTTAACCCTCATTTGATAGAGAGAGAGAGAAGTGGGTGTTGAAACCCAATTGATTATTAAAGAAAAAAAACACGATACATAATTTTATTTTGTATTTTGAGACATTTGATAAAATTTTAAAAATTCTGACAAGCCGTCATTTTTTCAACCCATATTTGGTGAGTAAAAATATGACCATTGATAATTGTAGAGAGTCTCAACCCATTTAACTAAGATGAAATAAAAATGATTCTTAATTTGAAATCCATTTTTCCTTAACCCCCATTTGATAGAGAGAGAGAAGTGGGTGTTGAAACCCATTGATTGTTAAAGAAAAAAACACAATACAGAATTTCAATATTTCGGTTCCTTAGACCCCTTTGTATACTATGGCCCATGTGGCTGTTTAACATTGCAATCCCTAAGACTCCAAAGCATTCTGGTAATTTTGAATTTTATTGGACGTTTTCATTTATTTTAATCTAGTTCTTGACCTCAAATAAGTCTAAAAGTCACTAAACCATACTAATAATATTTCTATAATTTATATGAAAGAAGTTCTCTTCTTTCTAAAACATTTTGAAGTATTTAAATAGAATGCAAGAGTGTGAGTCTTTGTGTAGTGTACTCACCTTCATCGTGATATAGTATACTCACCTTCAAAAATAAAAAGAGGTTCAAATCTCACCCCTCACTTATCTACTTTTTATTTTTTCTAAATAGAAAAATGAGGGACATGTGGCATAAATAGAAGGCTTGGATACCAAGTCCTGCCTTCACTTAGTATAGATAAATTCACCTTTCATACCACAAAAAATCAAAATACATAATTTTTATAAAATCATCTAATTAGACACCATCACAATAATTTATAAATTTTTCTTTAAAAAAAATTAACAAAAAAAAAACACCACTTGGACATCCACTATATCATTTATAGTGGATTGCAATGTTAAACTGCCAATTTTAGACATTTGAGAAAAAAGCACAATACAAAATTTTAGTTTGTTTAACATGTGATAAAAATTTTAAAATTTTTAACATTTTTTGTTTTTGCTATTAAAGCTCATCCTCAACAGCAGCATTTAATAGATTATAGGAATTATTATCACCAAAAACATGGTGCAAAATAAAATGGACTTTGGATAATGCAACAAAATAAAACAGGGTGCAAACAACCCTATAATCCATCATATTTTTAACCCATTTCAATATTTACAAAATAGAAAGACACCCTATAATGTTTCAATTTCAGTGTGGTCCGAATATAATTGTCATTGGTAGGGTTCAATGAGATTTTTGCTTCAGAATTTTTTTTTAAAGAGAGTCTCAACTCATAAGATGAAATAAAAATGATTCTTAACATGAAATCCATTTTTCCTTAACCCCCATTTGATAGAGAGAGAGAGAGAAATGGGTGTTGAAACCCAATTGATTATTAAAGAAAAAAAACACAATACAGAATTTTATTTTGTATTTTGAGACATTTGAGACATTTGATAAAATTTTAAAAATTCTGACAAACCGTCATTTTTTCAACCCATATTTGGTGAGTAAAAATATGACCATTGATAATTGCAGAGAGTCTCAACCCATTTAACTAAGATGAAATAAAAATGATTCTTAATTTGAAATCCATTTTTCCTTAACCGCCATTTGATAGAGAAAGAGAAGTGGGTGTTGAAACCCATTGATTGTTAAAGAAAAAAACACAATACAGAATTTCAATATTTCAGTTCCTTAGACCCCTTTGTATACTATGGCCCATGTGGCTGTTTAACATTGCAATCCCTAGGACTCCGGACTCCAAAGCATTCTGGTAATTTTGAATTTTATTGGACAAACATTCATTTATTTTAATCTAGTTCTTGACCTCAAATAAGTCTAAAAGTCACTAAACCATACTAATAATATTTCTATAATTTATATGAAAGTAGTTCCCTTCTTTCTAAAACATTTTGAAGTATTTAAATAGAACGCAAGAGTGTGAGTCTTTGTGTAGTGTACTCACCTTCATCGCGATATAGTATACTCACCTTCAAAAATAAAAAGAGGTTCAAGTCTCACCCCTCACTTATCTAATTTTTATTTTTTCTAAATAGAAAAATGAGGGACATGTGGCACAAATAGAAGGCTTGGATACCAAATCCTGCCTTCACTTAGTATAGATAAATTCACCTTTCATACCACAAAAAACCAAAATACATAATTTTTATAAAATCATCTAATTAGACACCATCACAATAATTTATAAATTTTTCTTTAAAAAAAATTAACAAAAAAAAAACACCAGCAGAGGAGAGAAGACGGGATGATGAAAAAAAAAACCAGAGGAGAGAAGAGTGAGGAGAGAAAAGTGCCTTACTTAGTGATGGTGGAGAAGAGAGCTTTCTTCAGAGCTTTCGATTGATACATATGATGCAAAGAGTGCCTTACCTGGTAAGTGTAGTGGGTTGGTGAGAGTTGGTAGGTAAACAAATCTGAGCCATTGAATTTTAGTCATTGATGAATCTAGACCGTTGAAACTTTTTTCAATCTCAGCCATTGTTTTTAAATTGAACAAATCTAAACCATTAAAGATAGTTTGTGAGAGATATTTTTACAAACAAATCTGAGCCATTGCTTTCCAAATTAGATAGATCTGAACCATTAATTTGAGAGACATTTTCAAATGAACCCTTCCATTGTTATATAGATATATATAATGCTATTTAAATAATTTAACTAGAGATCCAAAAAAAAAAAAAATCCAAAGCAAAAAAAAAAAGAATGGCAGAAGTGCACAAACTTTTCCTTTTATATATCTCAATTAGAGATCAACATCAAACCTAATACAGCTTCTGCAGCAACTTTAGTATGTTGTTTCACTAGGTTATCCTTGTTAGTCATCTTTGAATTTAGTTAAAACACATTATGAAAACACATTTGATAAATTCTGAAGTCAGAGAAATTTGGTTAAAACACATTCCGAAGTTAGAGAAATTCAAAATTTCCCCAAATTTCTCTGAAGATAAATTCAGAATTCTCTAGAGAGAAATTTTGAAGTCCAGAGAAATTTTCAGAATTTCTCAGGAGAGAAATTTCTCTGGATCAATTTTCTCTGGATCAACTTGAGGGACCTTAGACATTATGAAAATATTGAGTGCCCTTTATGCTGTAAAATCTTAATATCAGGGATCTTAAAAAAAAATTCTCAAAAATTTAATAAAAATATAAAAAATAAGAAAATAAAATTTTATAAAAAGTTTTTTTTAAAAAAAATAGAAAGTGATTCATAGAACTCAACCAAACGAGCCTTTCTTTTTTCAGTGTGTTTGGTTTGAATTTTTTGGATTAAGTTTTTTGAAAATTGAATTTTTTGTTTTTCGTGTTTTTTTGTTTTTAGTGAATATTTTTAAAATTTTAAACATTTTTTTTAGTTTTTTGGATGCACCTTACTTAGATGTATCTAAAAAGTAAAAAATTTGTAAAAAAATATTTTAAAAAATTAATAAATACATAAAAATATAAAAAAATGTACTGAATTCTTATTTTTTTTATTTTATATTTTTGGTATTTAATGAATTTTTAAAAGGTTTTTTTTTTAATTTTTTTAAATTTTAGATATATTTATGTTAAGTATATCTAAAAATTAAAAAAATTATTTAAAATATTAAAAAAATTCATTAAAAATTAAAAAAAATACCAAAAATAGAAATGTAGAATTTTCTAAAACTGTTTCACCAAACAAGCTGGTTCCTTTTTGGTTCCATTGTTTGGTTCCACCTTCCGTTCCTTTCTTCCCCCCATTTAGGTCCCTCAAAAACCCTAACGAAATTTGGCAATTATCGTATCGTGAAAGAGAGTGAGAATGGCGGAGCACTTAGCTTCGATCTTCGGCACAGAGAAGGACCGTGTGAATTGTCCTTTCTATTTCAAAATTGGCGCTTGTCGGCACGGCGATCGTTGCTCTCGCCTCCACAATCGCCCCACCATTTCTCCAACTCTCCTTCTCTCCAACATGTACCAGCGTCCCGACATGATCACCCCAGGCGTCGACCCTCAAGGCCAGCCCATCGACCCTCGCAACATTCAACAACACTTTGAGGATTTCTACGAAGACATTTTCGAAGAACTTGCCAAGTTCGGCGAGATCGAGTGCCTCAATGTCTGTGATAACCTAGCCGATCACATGATTGGCAACGTCTATGTCCAGTTCAAGGAGGAAGATCAGGCCGCTGCTGCCTTGCAGGCTCTGCAAGGTCGCTTCTACTCCGGTCGCCCTATCATTGCCGATTTCTCTCCTGTTACCGATTTTCGTGAAGCAACGTGCCGTCAGTTTGAGGAAAACAACTGTAACCGTGGCGGTTACTGTAATTTCATGCATGTGAAGCTCATTGGGAGGGATTTGAGGAGGAAGCTCTTTGGGAGATATCGCCGCTACTGGGGGAGTCAAAGCAGGAGCAGGAGCAGGAGCAGGAGTAGGAGTGTGAGCCCCCATTACCGGAGGGACTATCGCGATCGCAACCGTGGTGAAATCCGAGGCAGTGGACGGAGGAGCGGTGAGAGGCGTGGGAGGTATGACAGCGATGTTGGACGGAGGCGGCATGGCAGTCCGAGGAAAGGTAGGAGTCCGGTGAGGGAAGGGAGTGAGGAGCGCAGAGCTAGGATTGAACAATGGAACCGAGAGAGGGAGGAGAGGCGGTGATGATGCGATTTTTAGATTCTTTTTGATGAGTGGAGATGATGGCTTTGGCATTTTTCTCTTGTTGGTAATTATTCTAGGCTCAAATGCTTTTATGCTGCTTAGAACTTTAGAATGATGTTATTTATGGATGATATGTGTCTAACTGATACAGCGGTAAACTTTATAGCATCCCTTAAAAGTAGCAATTTAGAACTGGTGATTAGTTTTTGTTTGCTGTATAAATAGATCAACTTGCTTTCTTCCTGCTCTTGTGCTACATACCTGTTCGTTTGGGTTGTTAATTTTTTTCCCTTGTGCCAATAAGGAATTTATGTTGGAGCTATTTACCAAATCCGAGTTGTTTAAAAAATTATTTACCAAATGCTAAAGTGTGTTTCAAAACTCTAGCCTGAATCAAAACAAGTTCAAAAGTGCTTGATTTGTTAATTTGTTTTGAAAGACTTGGGTTTGGTTATAAAAAAATTTAAAAAAAAAAAAAAAATGAAACTCAATTATATTGCTCATCTTTTCCTATTGTTTGCTCCAACATTTCTTTATCTAAAGTTATGAATCTTTGAAGGGCAAGATGTGAATTTCTATATTATAGAAGCCGTAGATACTCCAGGATGCATGTGTCTTTAAAATGAGACTTCAAATTCGATAACATGATTGATTATTATTTTGAACATGTGTCTGACATGCCTTGGTAACGGGACACTACTTTAATGTAAAGGAAGAGTATGGAAGAAACTATACTGAGCATTTATGCCGAGATAATTTTAAAGTTGAATCATTTTAGTGTTAGCAGTGGAATGAAGCAAAAGCTTTTACATGCAAATGTGATAGGAAGTGATTTATCAAAATAATGTATTGTGCATACGGGCATGCATGCATACTTGTGCAGTTCTTTATGTATAATTGTTTGGTCCTGTCTTATTAGAAATATCATGTCAACTTGTGAATGCCTTGTCCCAAGTTCATGATAAATGCTATATAGGAGGTTGTAAACAACCTTATATCTCCTTAGATTCCTCATACTAGATATGGTTCTTCTTTTTTTAAACATCACTTGTGTTTTTTTAACATTTTTGTAGTTAGAATTCTGGGTCATTTTTCATGTCGTCAACTAAATGCAACGAAGGAGATTGTAAACAACTTTGTTAGATTCCCCCATTATGGTTGACTTTTTGCTTTTATGTGCTTTGTGTCATTTAGTTCCTTTCCTTGCTTTTCTCCACATTCTGTTCAAGTTCAAAAGTCATGCGTTGGAGGTTATTTTAGAATACAAGGAATTGTTTAAACTATCAACTAAATGATTACTCAATATTTTCTTTCCTTTTTTTTTTGGTTTCCATGTACTTTGTTTTTTCTGATGTAAGTAAAGTAGGCTTCCTTAAATAACAAAATGAGTCTTATACTTGATTTTTTTATTAAAGAATATACATTTGATTGGAGCTAATTTGCTCTGGTAACCCCTCGGTTGGGGATTTGTATTCTCACTCTAATTTGACATCTAATTTACATTTTGGTTGCATCATTTGGTATTAGAGCACAGATCCTATTCTTTCGATTTTGCATCATTTGGTATCAGAGCTCAGATCCTGTTCTTTCGATTGTAGTTGTTCTTTCGATTGTAGTTCTAATTTTGTGAGTGAGTTACAGCAGTTTTTTCTTTCTTCTTCTATTCGACTTTGCCTCCTAATCTTAACAAAATTACTTGACTAGATTGCAAAGCTGTGCGAATCAAGATCTTGACCAAATTCGAAGTAGTTGAGCCCTAATCCAATGATCGCGAGTTGTCAATTTGAGTTTGCAACCTCTAGATGTGAGATTTCAGTGATTGCGAGTTGATTCTCATTTAATCTCAAGTGTAGCTTTCAAATGTCAAGCTGAGTTGATCGAACCAATTCAATCACGACGAACTGTTCAAGCTTCCTAATTCGATTTCAAGCACATTTGAACCCTATATTGCATGGTTCGAATCTGATTTTGAGAGCGCTAGAGAAAATTAAACCCTAGGATGGGCAGTTCGAACTTGTTAGGATTCCAATTTGAGATTTAAGCCTTAGATCAATTTGAGTTTCATCTAAACTTGTTTAGATCAAGTCATGATTGTCATCAAATATTTTGGGTCCCGTTTTTTGTTTCCTTGACTCTAAGTGACGAGGGCCATTGTTTTGAATCTAAATCGATTTGATTAAGATCAATCAGTGAGACAAAAAGGTGCGAAATTAACTTGAACCTTTAGTTGTTTGCTGGAAACTCAGTCTCCAAAGTTGAACTTTATTGTGTAAAGCTGCAGTTGAACCCTAACTGGTTAATTTGAACCTCGATTCAAAGTTGCGATCTCTGTTGATTCTTGATTGAGCATTGCAAGTGTCGATTGATTGTTTTAGGTGCTTCGATTGTCCCTAAATGCTCTGCATCTGAGTTTGATTAGTAGATTGGGAATTTCAAGATCTCAGATTTGGTTCAACTTGGTTCAATTCCTTTATGTCTAGTTCAAATGGTTCGAAATTTGTCAGATCTGGTTGGAATTGAGTTCAACAGGTTGGACAGCCTTGCTTTGGTTCAATTGGGTCAAATTTGAGTTGATTGTGTCGGTTTTTCTTTGGGTTTTTTATTTGTATTTATTTTACAGCAACAATATCGATTTGGCTTTGATTGAATTCAATTTGTGTTCGATTACTTCAGATTGTGTTTGATTTGTTTCAATGGTGTTCAATTACTCAAATTATGTTCAATTTGATTTGATTGCTTCAGATTGCTTTGATTTGGTTCCAATTGGAGTTGAAAAGTGAAGTTCCATTTGACAAATTGTGCTGATTACTTGGTCCATTATAAGAGCTTTGCTTTGCATTTGTTATGGCTCACAAGGGTGGAAGAGGTGGGGGTATAGGTCTCACAATGAATTCTGGTGATGTTGCTGAATTGAATCCATCTATTGGAAAGCCAAATGCTATTCAAAATTAAAATCAAAGTCAAAGAGATGAGATGAAGTACTCCGTTCGTTCCAATTTAGTGGTCCCTTTTAGGAGTTCCAACTTTTTTTTTTTGGAGACATGCAATCGTTACACTTAAATTTAAAATTTAAAATATTTTTCCGATAATGCCCTTGTCTTTTTAATTTTTTAATATATTTATAATCATTCAATGGGGATAGTTTTGGAGAATCACATATTTTTTACTTTGACTTTTCAAATGGGACAACCATTTTGGGACATCCCAAAGTGGAATAGTGGACCAATAAAATGGGACGGAGGGAGTAAAAGAGTTGATCAATTTTTGCATTTAGGGAATATAAGAGTAGTCCATCTTACTCTTTACTGTTAAGAATTGATTGATTGTTATTTCCTAACTAATTGACTTCATTGACTCTTTACTCAACTCATCTAATTGCAGAAGTATCAATCTTCTTTTTTTATATGTATTTTTCTAATTACTGACTCAGTCAGTTAATTACGGAAAGACAAGGATACTTGCCCCTAATCACCATTTTGGAGAAGAGGAAAGATCTTTTGCGTATAAGCAGCGTAGGGTTTTACTTTGTGAAGTAGTGCAGTTATTGCAATCTCTTGCAAGCCGACATTGATATCTTTGATAGCTTCAAAGAGTTTATCTCAAGCTTTATGTTTGGTAGGATGCTTGTTGAGTCAAGTTATTTTGAGTCAAGTACGATGCTTGTTGTGATGCTCATTTGACGATTGCATCTAAGGGAATGAAGTAGTGTGCTATGCAGAATTCGTGCTCATGATAAGCTTCTCTCAAGTTGTTCTTGTCTCGTGGATGTGTCATCAATCTTGTCATTGTGACACATTATTTGGCCTTGCTTTGGAAGACATCATTTGCCAACCTATTAGTTTCATTTCAATCTTACCATTGTGGCACATTATTGGTTACATCAAGTCATAAGGATTATGAATTTTGAATTTTTATATGGGAAATGCTAACCTTAGTAGCAGAAATCATGGATGATACTCACGAATTTGAGGAAGAAGCGCATTTGCACTTATCGGAGAAGAATCGCGAGTTTGAGGAGTAAGAAACGCGAATCTGATGCGAGAAGGAAGCGACCAAGATCTCGAGCTCTCGTTCTCACTCTTGATCTCAATCTTACTCTCGATCTCTCTGTCTTCTTCTCTCTCTCGATCTCTTTGTCTCTCGATCTTCTTCTCTCTTTGTCTCTCATTTTCTCTCTTTTCTTCTTTGTCTCTCGTTTTCTCTCTCCATTTCTGTCTTTTTATCTACTTTTGAAACTAATAATGGATCATTTATTATATTTTATTTAAAGATAATGATTGTGTTTTAAAGAATATCACTCCACTACTGGTCTCTGTGTTTTATAGATTCAAGAATATCACTCCATTATTTTTATTGGTCTCTGTATTTTGAAGATTTAATAATATCACTTCATTAATTTTTTGGTTTTTTGTGATCTTGAGTTTCGATGATAATGGCCTATTATTATTTTGTTTTTATAGACAACTATTTTGATGATAGTATTAATGAGAATGAATTAAAATATTCTTATAATGTTCGAATTTGGTGATTCATTTTGTTTTTATATTTAGAATGAATTTTTATTTACTATTAATTTTAAAAATATATATTTTTTTATGTTGTATTTAATTATTTAAATATTATATAAAAATTAAAAAAATATATTTTATTTATTACATATAAATGTCAATTAAGAATAAAATATAAAAAAAGTTTATATAGATAAATTAAAAATATTTCAATAAAAATTATATATAAGCGCTACCGAACTACAACTCTTCTAAGTGGCCATGCTCCCATTCCTGCTCCCATTTTGTGCAACTAAGATGCTAACCATGGCGGTGGTTAATGTTGGTACATGTGGAAAATGTGTATTGGAATATGTGAAAAGTCTATAGAAATATATGGATATGTATATATGAACTGTGTATTGTAATTTTAATATTTTTGGCATTATTTGATTCTTAACAAGTGCCCTAGTGGACAGTTGTTGCTAGCTTATATATTTAGTAGACTAGAAGTGGTGGTGAACCCGATGTGTGCACATATGATCATTTTTTTCCAAAAAAATAAGATTGTAAACTGTATGATTGAATTCACAATATAAAATCAAAAGTCGAGAGATTTGAAAAAAATAATATATATATATATATATATTTAGGGCATAACCACCTACCCACCTAATTGCTATAGGGGTAAAAAAAATATTAAAAATTTAGTATGGAAGTGTTTTTTTACTTTGTCATTTACTAGATTTTTTTTCTGGAATATAGTTACAGAAGAGGTTTCTTTTTTTTTATGTTTAAACCATCTATTAGATGAAGTTAACAACCCAAGACATGCTCTTCACATGCGTACTCCTCATATTTTTAAGCATACACGGTGCATGTCTCTGACTAAGATGCACAAATCTTTGGAGAATGTTGTATAAAAATCAAAACCATGATGCGTTTTGCCTTAGGCGAGACATAATAATGCTTTCTAAAACCTTTTCTTTTTTTGATAAATAACAATGCTTTTTAAAACTTTGCTTGAAATAATTTAGTAGATTTCATAGTACAAGTGTTACTTAGGAAGATTGATGATTTATCTATAGTGATTCATATTATTTCCACAAGAAGTAGCATTTATTATGATATTAGCAGATTTGTTTAATGAGGCAAGCCAATCTACTTCTCGCATTTCACATTGTTGATTGGGCATATATGAGATGCTTTATTATGGCATTAAAATGTTACATCAATGATGGAGGACCCATATGTTTATTACTCTATAGATATAGATTAACAATGTTAGCTAGGTGCACTTTAAGAGCTTTGTAAGAAGGTGGGATCAACCTTCATCATACATGTCACTTTTGTCTTAGTTGCCAAATGGGATTTATGAAGATGGGAATCAACATTGACAGAGTATTTATAATTTTCTCTCTAATTTTTCCTTTTCTATTTGACGGAGCCTTCAGCCTTCAATGTTTATTTTTATATTTATGTAGTTTTTGGGAGTGGGGGGAGCTTGGGCCCTTGCATAACCTAGTGAATCTTGCAAGATCTATTAAGAACAAAGAGAGAGATTCCTTCCCAAGAATGTATTGATTAAAACTAAAATCAAATGACCATCATACTCGTAGATATTGTGTTATTGACTTATTGTTTTTCCACATTGATGACTATTCATTGGTATCATTAAGCTCAAAAGTCTTCTAAATCCCATCTTATCTGACATGATAACTTATATATTAACATTTTGTTTCTTGAACCTCAGTAATATTTAATAATGAAGAAATGCAACATCATTTTCAGTTTCTCCAAATGAGAGATTATTCTTTGGGTCCCTTGGTAACTAAGAAGTACGAACACGGACATGGACACGGACACACGTCGCAGACACGCGGACCCGCAAATTTTCAAAAAATGCAAGAGAAGACACGTTGAGAACACATGCGTAACATATAATTTTATATATTTATTATATTTTATATTTTTAAATATTTAATATTTATGTTCTATCAAATATTTAATTTTATCAAATTTGTCAACCTTAGGTTTTCTACTTTAGTAAAAAAAATTAAAAATTTTAATTTTTTTTGTAAAAAATTAGTCCTCAGCTTGTCTCCAAGTGTCCCAGCGTGTCCAACTCTTTCTAGCATGTCCAACACGTGTCGGGAGCATGTCCATGTCCGACACATGTCGGACACTTGTAAGTCACCTCTGGAGAGGTGCCCATGCTTCATAGCTTGGTAGTTATGTTCTTGGGATTTGTGTGGTTAGCAGCGTGCCAACATACTTCCCAAAGTAAGAGTCATGTTAGAAGGATGCTGCAGTTGATGAAAATTTTCTGATGTTAGATCTTGGCATATCTTCATGTTGCTGTGCTAATATATCTGGGTGCTGTTGAAGCAAGAAACAGTCTTGATATGCTTTATCATGTACTGAAGAGGTAGTATCAAGTCTAGGAAGGCCACACCGTAAAAGGTTTTTGTGTTGTAACCCAAGTCATCAAATTCGTGTGGGAGTGGTGGCAAACCACGCTCCAAATTGCAGATTGGCAATTTATGATGGAAAATGAGTCAAATTTGCAGATTCATTGGGTCAAATCCTTGAACTAACAAATGAACTTTCTTTCAACCAATTAGTAGCCGCCATGTTTACTGTAAGTTAATCATGCTGGAGCACTTACCATGTGTGAATGGAATGGGGAGAAACCTATCGCTGCCGAGGATTGAATGCATAACCTTCCAGAAAGGAAAAATGATCTTACCACTTGGATGAAGCATCACTTTTGAACAAATTTTATGTTCTTTTATTTATTAGTCACTTTTATAAACTAAAAATAATAATTCATAAAAAAATTTCAAAATACTTGATAATTTCTCTGACATATATATAAATGTACATAGATGCTTTGGAGGCATTTTCGCTTTCAAAATAATTTTTTGAAAGACGTGTTCTCATGTGCCAATTCCCACTTATGCACCACTCCACAAATTGGTTCCTTAGGTTGTAACACCTTGTGAGGGGTGTCTAGATATTATGCTTTTATACCCTCTCAGTTCTGCTGCTTTTATACCATATCAATTATGCTTTTCATTATTTCTTGATGAAGTTCCATAAAGGACACAAAATTCTATGCTTGCTTACATCAGTATTTGAACATTTGCATCTGTAAAGAGCATGAGTTCCAATGGTGCTCCCTTAGGCACATAGATTCCTTGTCTACTTGTTCTCGTAATCTTCTCCTTTGATCTGTTGAGGTTTTCATACTTGACTGTTCTTCTCGCTCCTATGTTAGTTCATGATGTTGCTGATATTTCCAATGCACTCTCTAGTTCTTTCTGTTTCATCGCATACTAAGTTTATGAAATATTTTTGAAAATATGATTTGTTTCCTTCTTTGTTAAATGTTGTTACAATTATCTGTCCAGTGATTTAATGACATTTGGAGATGAGTGGGCCCAAAACATGCCAAGTGTAAAGCTGTTTGGCATGCATTACTTGAGGGCATGTTTGTATCCTTGTATCATGAACATTGAATCGCTTGAGTGTTCAACTTCATCTTTTATGGAGGAAAACCTGCAATATTTGTGGATTATCTTCTCGAGAAATATGTTGTTTGCTAGGCATGACTTTTTAATCATTCCGAGAGATAAAGGACATTCAAAGTTGATATGATCTTTTAATACAGATACTGAAAGGCATCAGTTGAAAATTCTTTCTCAGGCAGTTTCTACCGTGAAGTTGAAATTGTATGCATGCCTTGGGACAACTGATGCTTGTGTGGTTAGATTTGTTAGAAAAAACACAACATTGCAGAGCTGAGAAGCCAAACTTGGGGTCGCATTGTTTTGAGAAGGTGATTATACTACATCTTCCATTTAATTGTTCCTGTTCATGACTTGTATGATTGCCTTACCTAGCTAGTAGCTTATATTCTGCAATTTTTGTTATTGATCTTTAAAACTGTTCTTTCCTAGAGCCTTTTGTGTTGGAGAAAATCATCTGTTGCATCTTACTTTTCCTGTGACATCTCGTGCTTATCAAGTTTGTTCATGGATATAGGATTTCTCCTACGGGTTTGATTGTTAAGAAGACTTCTGGAAGGAATGAAATTTTGAAATCTGATAATTGATAGGGGCTATGAACTTGGGTTTGCATCTTATATTCTGCAGATATTATGATATTGTATAGACCTTATTTTACAAGTCTTTGGTATAGGATGATCACCAGGGCATCAGGTTGGAATTGAATAGTGTTGATAGCCCATGGAGAGTGACGGCTATGAAATTGGGGAAGAATTTTTTTTCTTTTTCTTTTTTTCTTTTTCGGGTTGTGAGCTCACTGCGTAGTTGGTATAAACTGGCCATGTTTCTGAATCTTTTGTTCTTGGAAACAGCAAAGGGTGGTGTTTGAGTTGCTTGAAGCAGGTGACATTCAATCCCAATACCATTAGGCCATGGGGCAAATGGTTGACAACATGACCAGGTGGGATATTGTACACCTCCTTTATTGGTCTGAAACTACTACTAAATGCATTTTGTATGTTAGTTTAGGTGGAAGTGGACTTTTTTCAGAATGTAACTTGGCCCAGATTTTCTCCTCAGTGCACCCTTGTGACTGTTATACGTCTCACGGCTGCTAGATTCTTTTTTTCTGAAGCCAATGTTTAATGTTGGGAAAGCATAAGGGATGGTTATTATTCAGACTTGAGTGATGCTGCAGGAAAGAATATTGGCCGTTCCTGACAGATACTGATAGCTTTGGAATGAGTTGGGGTGCATGCTTCTTTTACTATGAAGAAATTTGGTATTGATTTTCTATCATTATTGCTGTAAGTGTGGCATGTCTCCTGCAGATATTTTTCTGGTTTTCCCTTCTCTCTCCCATGTGTGGATGCCCTGATGGGAATATAGGTAGCAGATTCCTGGCTGTGTTTGTCAATCTTCATCTTTGTGATGGAAATGACCATGTCTTTGCTTTGAGGACTGGACTAATTTACCTACCAAGAACAAATGTTTTCCTCAAATCCCAGCTATCTCATCTCAATATATATATATATATATATATATTATTTCTTGCATAAAAAAGGATAGCTTCTGTGTCAGCAATCCTGTTTCGAATTGGTTTTTTCTTGGTTTATTTTAACTCTTGGTTTGGAGAGAGTATTCGGCTGAAGCCCAGATCGAACTTGCATCTTTGCCAACAAATGTTGATGAAAGCTTTTTGCTAGTGAAGCCAGAAGTCTGGGAGGGGAAAGAAAAAGACAATTAGGGATGGTTGATCAAATCACCATGGTTAATTCAGTTATTGAAACTTTTGTAGTGTGGTACAAGGTATACTATGATGTTCTCTGTCAAATTGTGTGATTGCTTTATATTCTTTATGGATTATCGAATGCTATGAGGTGCAGCAATGTTTATGAGAGTGCAGGCTAGGCTAGTTTTGGTACAACAAAAACTGTTTTCCATGGTTAACAGAGAATAAAAAATAAAATCATGTTGAAAACATTTGCAGGGCTAAAATCTTACCGTTGCTCTCATATGAGTTAATTTCAAGCAAGGAAATCATTTTCTGGGCTAAATTTGGATTTTTCCTCTTTGATTTTAAAATTTTCTTAATTATATCAATTTTAAACGCTTATTTATGAAAAAAGAAAAAGGATATGAGATTTGCTATTAGTAGTTTAGAACCCGCGGTTCTGATTTTATCTTCCACCTTCTTTATGTATTTTTTGTTACAAATTTATCGTAACAGGGTACTAATTTTATCTTTATCCTTAATCTTTTAAATTCTAATCCTAACCCTATTTCACCCACCACCATCGCTATCACTTGGGGCCACCCTACCTCCCTAGACTCTCTTTCCCACCTCGACACTCCCTAACCTCCTCTTCTACTGACAACCCCTCTTCAACACCCTTCCTCTTTCTTGAAAACCAATCATCATAAAAGCACAAAATGATAATAACACCAACAACAACAACAACAAAAAATTATATGTCGTTGGCAAAAATTCAGTTCAGACCAATCGATAATGATTGATCGACAAGTTTAAATTGATTTTAATTAAACATAAAAATGATCAAACTTTATGGTTGGGTATTATGCTTTAAACAGATGAAGGACTTCTTTGGAGGTAATTAAATGAAGAAAGTTTTGAACAAAAAATAGCTACCAGCCCCTTCCTTAAGTTGTGAATCCTTTCCAGTTCACTTAGCAACACCCTCGGGTTTCTGGTTTGTTCATTCAGGCTGGCAGACATCATGTTTATGTCTACCACCTTTGGGAAAAGGTTTCCATTTGTCTTTCTTAGCATATTTCAGCATTCCTTTGTAAATCAAGTCCTGCACACAATTACAAAAGGTTATACAATTATTAGTAGAATGCTTAAATGAATTATGCCACTGATAATATTCTTTGTTAATCCTATCTTTTTCTTTTGGGGATACTGTGACCTGGAAATAATGTCAAGAATTTCCCAGCCAATAGCTCATCGAACAAAGCATCTGTTTTTGACAAATCAAAAGAATACTATCGATGGGTTATTGGTACATTTTTCCTAGCTAGCTGAATAGAAGGCATGGTTATTGGTTTTTCTGCCTTTCTTAAGGCTTCACATGTTATTGGTGTTTTGCAAATTATTTAGGCAATGTCTATATCTGCTTCTGTCTCTAGCTCTGTCTTGATAATATGTGCCCAAACCAATAAATGAAGAAGGTTTTGAACAAAAAATGTATTTATTCAATCAAATTGTCACTTATTTTAATTACAAGAACTAGAACAAGCCCAAAGAAAGTGAAAAATACACCAATCGACAGAAGGAAAGAAGAGAAGTGGGGGGTTTGGAAAAAACTATTACTAACCTATTCCTAAAATGCTAAGTTAACCTACTCCTAGATAAACTCTTTGCGAGTGTTGTTGATGATTGTTTGATGATTGATGTCTCGCCTTCAGCCTTCTTTTATACTTGTTTCTTGATTAGGCTTTTGATCTCGATCTTCCCATATTCTCAGACTCTTTACATGCTTATCCCTTCATTCCAGAAGTTGTATTTGAATTTCCAATTCCTCTTTGATCCGCTACTTCTTTATTTCTTATCCCAACATTTGTTTGGCCCATCTTGGCCAATACTCTATGTTCTTTCTATGTCACCTTCGCCGTGTCATCCCTTATGTCTTGTTTGCACCCTATCGACGGAGGAATCCAACTTTTAGCACCAACATATATGTATGATAATTGTAAATAAATTTGAGGCAAGGCATTCTTGACCTAGATACGAGCATGTTGAACTTTTCACTGCATTTATATACAAGATTTTGGTGTTTAAAAAATGTTTTATATATTTCATGCAATTTGAAGAAGAAAAAAAAATTGAAGTTGAAACTTTGTTTGGTTTTGGTTCACTGGATATGTTAAGAGTTTTAGAAATTCATAACTAAACATTTTAAGGTTGTTCGACGGAGATTAATTCACTAATTTTGTTTCATTTGGTTGGCTAGAGCCATTTGTTTGGTCATTTATAACCATTTGTTCGGCTGAACCTAACTAAACAAAATTCGAATGCATAAGAAAAATAAAGTTCTAAAAAGGTGGTTGGGTGGAGACCGTTGCTGTTGGGTAACAGTAGAAGTGTGAAAAGGTGTTTGAGAGGGGCTAGGGTAGTAGGGAGTGTTATAAAGGGCTGCCAAAGGCGGGGTTGGCGAGGAAGGTGGTTTGCTAGAAGATCCAAAGAAAAAGGTATTTTGTAGATTATGGTGAGATCTAAAGAAAAATAGAGTGGGGAGCAATTTGGGTGGTGGGGGGCCAAATAAGTAGGAGGTTTCTAATAAAAATGATCGGAGTAAATAGTAGCACTCTTGATTTAAATTCAAAATTGGAAATGACATTTTTGCCACTCATATTAAATTTTGGAAGTAAACACATGCTTATGTGCATTTGTATGTGACTTTAATGGTGAGGTGTGTTGTTGTGTTGTATGGATGCGAGTGTTATTAGTGTATATGATATACAATTGGAATATGTAAAAAAACAATAATAATAAATTGGGAAAGCTAAGAGAGATAATGTCTAGAGGATTTTTAAATCAAGGTGTGACCTAGATTTCGTTTAGCATGGATTTGACTATTGAGATACACAACTCTGGTTAGATATACTACTGCGGTTAGCTTGAGGCTCATAAATATTACATAGCAAATAACAATATATATTGTTTGCCGTATCTCTGCTGTGTCCGTCTTGAATACTTCTGAAATCGTCGTCCCATGTCCGTGTCTATATCTCATAACAATTGAGATAAATTGCTCTGGTTTACTTGAAGTTCTTATGTGGTGGTTTCAACTGAGATAGGTTGGGTTGGAAAATAATAAGAAAAAAAATTGAAAGGGATTGTAGAAGCTGTGTTTTGATTCTATTTTGACAAATTAAAGATTGGTGCATATTCATTACATTTTGGTATTTACAAATGCTGTATCTTAAATTTGATGTCCATCAAGAAAAGGCCAGATTTACCAGTTCATTGCCACCTTATTTACTTTCTAATGGTTGTAATTTTCATTTTTGCTTTAGTTCTCAATTGACTTCATGACTCTTGCTTTTATGTTTTATTTGTCTATAATATTTTCTTTTTTCATTTGAATTTGAATTTGCAGAATCCCTGCTATTGGGTTCCCTGCTTTGGTTGCCTAGGCATTCTGCCCAAACCGCTACAGTCAACTCTGGAAGAAGTTCCACTAGAAACCGTGGATGCAAAGCTTCAAGGTCGAGGATGAGACCCAGTTCCTTTAAACAAGAAGTTCTAGTGAGACTCGTGATGTGAGGCATTTCTGTGCTTTGTTGTTTATCATGTTTGTGGTTTTGTTCTTTAGAAGAATTGGAGGGAGGGACTATCCTCTCTTGAAGTTGTTAGATAAGTTGTTTTTCTTTTTTTACTGATTATTTTTTGTTACGAGTCACAACAATATGTCTAGAAGACTGAAATTGTTTGTTCTCTGTGGTATTCACGTTTGTATCTATGAAGCTTTGAAATTGTTAGTAATCAGATATCACAGTTGTTGTACTTTCAATTTTGTAAAAAAATTGATTAGATGGAGATTTTTTTATAGATTTTCTTGCATTAGTGAATGAGATTAGAGAGAGACACAGAGGATAGTGCTTTGGCTTTTACAAGCATTAGCCATTGGCATTCTACTTTAGTCAGAGAGTTGAAGCGTTTTGAGAATAATATATATCTTTTATGGGGAAATAATACTACAAACATGGAAGGATGCCACTTTGATACAATCTCACAACTTTTGACTTGCACCCCCACCATTGAACCCCATATTTTTGTATTTTTTTTTTTTAATGTAATTCCCCCATTTTTTATTGTTGGCACAGGGAGCTTGTGCCTAAAGTTTTGTTTGGACTGGTTTAAGAATTAACTATTTTAATTAACTTTTTAACTTTTTAGTAGAGAGCATTTTTAACTTTTTAACTAAAAACTAAGCTTTCAAACAAGACTTTAATTTGGTAATGAATTTATACACACGTTCAATTTATCACAAATTAACATAACTTTATTACAAATATTTTATAATATCAATCACAAAATGCATAATTTCACTACAAATTAACATAATAAAAGATATCTTAATCAAGTCACAAATTTTTATAATATCAATCAAAAAAATTTAAACATTTTATTATCTTAATTTGTGACAAATTTATATATTTTAGGGAAAATCAGTCTAAGGTCCTCCTATTTTTAGTAATAGAAGAGATCCACAATATTATTTTATGATGTCTAAGGTCCCTCAACCCCACATCTATATATCACAAAGAAGTTTGACTCTCTCACATCAAATCTCATTTCTCTCTCTCTATCTTCCGAGGCTCTGATGAACAAGATCAGAACTCTCAACTCTCAGACTAAGGACTCCCTCAACACACCACCCGGTAGAACAACCTGGAGGCTCAAACACGACTGCCAACAAACATGGCTACCAAACTAGAGTAAGAAAGCATTTACCGGAGTGGTATAGGCACCCAAATCGCAACAAATCTTACTAGAATGAACCCGCAGAGTAGTGCTGGAGCACCTACTCGCGTGAGGCTACCGGAGTAGACCAGGGCAGCAACACACCGCACAATCACGCTAGCATAACTAACGCCAGAAGAGAACAAACTAGGGCAGAAAAGTATTACAGATGGAACGCTTACATCCAGAACCAGTGACTTACCACCTCCGACGCCAATATGTAACAACCCCAGTCCGTAATTAGCTACTAATTCGTTATTAAGAATGCTAACTAAGTGTTTAGAATGGAATTATGTGTTATTGTTAATTGTGATATCTGCTTTGTAGTAATTTGTGCATATCTATCTGATTTGAAAATTATTTGTCATGATTCCTACTTTGAATCTGAAGTTATTAGCCTAAATGCTTTTAGAAACCGAATTGAGCACATGGGTTGACTAATTAGAATTTTTAGAACCATCTGAAAAGTCTTGGTAAAAATTGATTCAGTTTAGTAAAATCGCATGTGATTAAATTAAGCCTTAATTGGAACTATTTTTGAATAATTGAATTTTGTGCTAACCTTGACTAATTAAGGTTACTTGTGTTTGATTTAAATGATGCATGATTGGTACCTAATCTAATCCTATTAATGATCCAAGATGTGATTAAGTGTATGATGTGTTGAGGCATTTGGTGATATTGAATGTAGAGGATTAAAACTCTTGTGAGTGTGTTGGATTAATGCATGTGTGTGCACGTGTTGTGTATTCAAATGTGAGGTGTGTGTTGTGTATATTCTGATGAGAGTTGAGGGAATATTGTACCATTCCTTTACTCATGTGGTCCTTGTGTAGAGAGAGAGAGAGAGAGAGAGAGAGATAGAAGAAAAAGAAGGGAACTAGGAAGACCATCTCTTGTTGTTTGAAATCAAGAATCTAGGTAAGAGTCTTGAGCCTATTTTCTGTAGTTAACCTTCTCTGCATCATGATTTCAGCATGTCTTTGAGCTAATTTCATGATAGTTGTAAGGAAATGGGTCTTAGAACATATAGATGACTTACATATACATTCATGGTAGACCATCTTTGATTTCATCATGTTGAGTTTGAGTTTTAAAGTCCTTGCATGCATGTGAGCTTTAATCATGTCCATGGTTTTCAGAATTCATGAAGTTATTGATCACAATTTGCATGTTACGAAAAAACCATGAAATAGTTGAAAATGTGTTACATGAAGAAGTTTTGACTCAAATCTTTCAAGAATTGATGAGTTTTTGAATAAAAGATGTTTCAAGGGTCTTGTATTGAAGTTTTCTAAAGCTATTTTTGTGTGTTTGATCAAATCATGCAAGACCCTAAGGTTTGAAGGTGGTTTGGAAGCCATTTTTGTTAAGCTTACTACCCAGAAATTTACAATTGGCTCGAGCGAAGAAGTGATGGCTCGAGCCAACATTTCGAGCTCTCAGAATTTTGAACTCTGCAGAAGCTGGCTCAAGCGAAGAAGTCCTGGCTCGAGTGAGATCTGTTTTTACCTTCTGCTGGCTCTAGCCACCAACTTATTTTCAGCATGTTTTCAAAAGATGTTTTATGTACATATCTTCACTCCCATCTCTCTATGGGCATTCTTAGGCATGATTTATGAGCCGGTAAAGATTAATAAGCTAAGAAATAGCATAAGTAAGTGAATTAAAAAATATGTGTTAAATCCGAGTATATGGGCAATATGAACAAGTTATGTAGCATGGAATGAATGGGCAATTAAAGTGAGAAAGCTAGCCGTGTTGGCCACTTGAATGTGTAATGATAAGACATGCTTGTGTTATGTATTTTGTGGTTGTAGGTTAAGACTCGAGGGTTGATTGACCATTGCAAGAAACCATTGTGAGTAATGTTATTGTAAAGATACGTTCATATGAATTACTTTCCAAATGAAATATGATAAGTTCTGATTTCTGAAATAATATCTACTTTCGTGAATGAATATTCCATGTTTGAAATCTATTATGGCATCCATAGATAGTCCTAAGTCATGGGGGACGGCATGAAAATGCGGGTCCATGACATGCATGTGATTTCGAGATCTCGCTAGCCACTTCATTGTGGTGATATGTGTTTAATCAGTATCCGGAACCGATTACCCTTGTCGGAAGACGTTCTGTGATGTGTTCTATGGGATGTACCATTATTATGTTCTGATATGAGAATGATTATGCTCTAGTCTGTTTTTCTGCTTATGATATATACGGATTTCGTTCACTAACCCCTTTACCTTAATGTTATTCACTGGGCTTTAACTCACTATGTGTGTGTGTATATATATATATATATATAGGTGGGCATTCTGGAGTTCGAGCCTAAAGGCTTTTGTTCGGATCTGTGTTCTGTTGTCAGCTAACCATTGTGCCTCACGTGGAGGTTCCCGAAGAGTCCTGTGTTTAAGTTCCGTTGTTTCTGTACATATAAGACTTGGTAGTTTTGTTGGCTGTACTTAAGATACATTAATATGTGTGGGTATAATGTATGAATGACTATTGCATACTTATATAAAGTTTTAAATACTCTGTTCATATAAGTCAGCACAACTCATTGGACAACTATATTTATGTATTTGCTTCCGCTAGCCCCTTAATCTTGTTAATCTGTTCAGAGGCCTTCGGAAGTCCAAGGATTACTAGCTGGTTACGATGCTAAACGTATAGGGACGGGTTTGGGTCGTTACACAATAGAAACCATCTCGCCAGCGAACATGCCTAGGACGAACCCACTGTTTGGGAAAAAAATTCCAATTCTCACTAGACCAACTTCTCTCATATGACTAAATAACTAGATCATGGATACAAACTGGTTTAATAGAACAACCATAAATCACAGACCCACCATGAATCACAAGCCAACCAACGGGAGGGAGCTTTCTCTCTCTAGATACTAGAGAGAGAAGCAAGCTCCTACTTTCTGGAATTTTCTCTGGGTTGTGGAGTCTAGAGAAACTCTTTGGGTTGAGAGAATTTCTCTGAAAATATTTGTCTGGGAATTTTCTCTGGGTTGTGGAGTCTAGAGAAATTCTCTGTGTGAGAGAATCTCTGGAAATGTTTGTCTCAGAATTTTTCTGGGTTTGGAGAGTCTAGAGAAATTTTGAAATTTCTCTGTGATGTGTCCAGAAAAATTTTGAAATTCCTCTGCACCGAATTTTGTCTGGATCAATGTTGAGAGACTTTAGACATTATGAAAATATTGAGTGTCTTTTATACTATAAAATCTTAATACCAGAAACCTTAAAAAAAGATTCCCAATATTTTATAATTAATATTATAAATTTTTATAATAAAATTATATCAATTTATAATATGCAACCTAAAGGTGCATACCATAAAGAAAAATGATCTAAACCTCTAAAAAAAAAACTTTAATTTGTCTTTTTCTTTCTTCTTTTTTATCTTTTACTTCACTTTTTTTTTTATTCATGAACAGCTTATTAAAATTGTACTGCAATAATTCTAATTAGACCTCTGCAGCAGCAGCTCCGTACCATAAATTCTCCCATATTTGTAAGGCGGATTTGAAAAAAGAAACTTGTTTGTTTCACACTCTGAACCATAAATTCTCCCATATTTGTAAGGCGGATTTGAAAAAAGAAACTTGTTTGTTTCACACTCTGATAGCAGAGTGTTAGGTGAGCAATGTTATCGACCGGTCTTTGAGTTACATTTTATTGTTTGGTAAAACTGTGGGTGGGGAGTTTTCCAAAAAAACCAAAAAAAAAACTGTGGGTGGGGCTCCCTTAAAAAAAATAAAATAAAATAATAATAGCATTATCAGCTGCAGAGCATATTCTAAAGGATGATTCAGTAGGCCAAGACCCACTACATTGCTGAGTTCCAAAAAGTGAAAAGTGATTTTTGATGAAATCATTTTCTTTTCCTTTGCACAATCCAATAGTGAAGTGAGCCGTATGTTGTATGATCATGACCATTTTTGCAACATAAAATGGCATCAAAATTTTAAGGGTAAAATTCCACGTATTTCTGTTTGACTCTGTTTGATTAGAAAAAAAAATTTAGTAAAAAATAAAAGTAAAATAAAATGAAGTGATAGGAAAGAAATACAAAAAAAACATATTTTTTCTTAACATTTGATTAAGATAAAAAATTTGATAAGAAAAAGATATAAAAATTTAAAAGCTTAGTTATAGATAACTCATACATTCAATTTTTCTTGTATTTTTTTTTGTTTTTTGCAAGAAATAAAAAATTAGTTACAATGTTAATATGGATTGTACAAGAAAATTAATTTTCTTATACATTCTACCACTTTCAAGCTAAATAAATTCATAGAAGTTAAATTTTTTCTCTTTCATATTTTTAACATAATTATATTAGTTTCTCTTGAATTATTAATTCACATAGCAGTTTGTCACTTTTTCATCAATAATTTATTAATCGTATGTATGAAAAAGATGATATTGTCATCTTTATTGTATTAAAATATATATTTATCTTTGTTTATTTTAACATCTACCTACCAGCTATCTTAATTTTGGTCACTTCAGTCTTTCTAAAAGGCAGAGAGGTCAGTGTAATTTATATAAAAAATATAGAACTGATTGTATTTTCTTTTTTAAAATTTTTTTTTAGAGGAGAAAAGTCTAATTTACCAAAGTTTTAATAGAAGGTAAACTATATATGTTTGAATTCATTGTAAAAGCAGTTAAAAATCAGAATAACCACTGAAGGGTCCGATTATAAATTAATATATATATATATATATATATATAATTTGTAATGTTAGAAATGGTAGTTGAGCTTGTTTTAAATTAAGAGTTATGTTTAGATTTTCGTTGGAAGGAAGATATATATGATTATTTTGATCTAATTATTTTTTAATAGCAAAAATGAAGAGATGAACTGAGAATTACTTAAGATCTCTTTCATTTTATTGTTTTGTGTATTTAATAATGAAATGTGATTTTAATTTCTAGTTAAGATTTCGTGTAAATTACATTTTAAACCCGACATTTTATATTAAATCTCATTTTGATCTCTTATTTTTCAATTGTAATAATTAACTTTTGGAACTTCCAGTCAAGTTGCAATGCGATGTTTCTGTTTGTTTGGCTTTAAATTCATTAATGAAAATTAAGATAAAATACACCTTGCACTTTTGCATTTTACATCAAATTTCACTTTGGTTTATTAATTTTTAATTGTAATAGTCAACCATTTGCACTTGTAGTCAAGTTGTAATTAGGGACGGGCATCGTGTTGTATTCAAGTTGTATCATCTCAAGTTGGCAGATTGAAAGCACCAACACGACTTATTTATTAAATATGTCATATACGCATATACTAACTGAACCTGTTAATAATCGTGTCAACTCATAACTAACATAATTAATTTATGTACCTGTTTCACATGCATGACATGCCACAAGTCAACCCCCAACAAGGAAAACATATTTAACTTACTAAAATTTTGTTCCATCTTTGTTATACTACTATAATACTAAATTAATAGTTGATATTAATTTAAACATTAAATGAATGACTGAGATTAATTTTGATCAAATATATATCTACATATATACAAACGTGAATCATTAACAGGGCAATGTCTTGTGGGTCGAGTTCGCGTTAATCTTTTTTTTTTTTTTTTGGTTGATAATTGGGTGTTTGAGTTAGTTTATGCGTATCTCGACTAATCTCGAGATCCACGTAAAGCCCCCCTCTATGTAGATCAGACAAATCTCAATAGAGCCCGTATGCATAGCCCCAAGGAGTTAATAGAATCTATTGAGAGTTGAATTTGAAACGTGAAGGGAGCACACCCCAGGCCTCAAGACAACAAAGACAAGACAAATGTCTTACTATAAGTTGAACACAAATTTACATAAGTTTGTAAAAACATAAGACATGTGCAATTTTGTGTTCAATTTACGCATTTTTATGAGATCACTTATATAAATTTATAAAAGTTACATAATTTTATGATAAGGTTGTATAAGGTGTGCATAACATAGTAAAAAATTTTGCTTTAGCATATTGTTTTACACCATTCATGGTAACACCATTCACTTGTTATCTTTCAAAAAGAGAGACAAAAGTGGAGGGTAGAGTCTATTATTTTAACTAATTAAATTCAAATTAAAGCACGACATGAATTTGTCCAAGAGCAAAATATAATTTCTCATAATGAACATGTTTAAAATTTTGACCGTACAGAATTTTTATTTTTATTTTTTAAGAGATTTGTTAATAGTATTTTACGGCATACCAAAAAGACAAAAAAAAAAAAATACAAAATACTTAATACTTTTTTTCCATTTTAAAGCACATTTTATAAATTTCATAATTTTTTTTTAATATTTTTACTTTTTATTTTTAAAACACTTTTTTATCTCAATTTTAATTTATTTTTAACGTCTAAATTTTAATAACCACTACGCCTTCACTTGCAGTTAGGCTTCCCCCTTATATTTGAATTTGAAATGTGAGCAACCGTTGAAGCCACGTCACTGTACGTCTCTTTGTTGATCTGCTACTACTCAGATCTTATAACAACCAATATTAATTGCCACGTGTATGATCAGGATCGAAGACCTATCTGGTCTCCCCATATTACCCTCACTTCGCCACGCGTCGGATTGTCACTGGCTTAGTACAAAATGTGTAGCCAACAAAGTTGAATTTGAGACGTGAAGGGAGCACACCCCAGGCCTCAAGACAACAAAGACAAGACAAATGTCTTACTATAAGTTGAACACAAATTTACATAAGTTTGTAAAAACATAAGACATGTGCAATTTTGTGTTCAATTTACGCATTTTTATGAGATCACTTATATAAATTTATAAAAGTTACATAATTTTATGATAAGGTTGTATAAGGTGTGCATAACATAGTAAAAAATTTTGCTTTAGCATATTGTTTTACACCATTCATGGTAAGAGGCTTGTCTTGTTATCTTTCAAAAAGAGAGACAAAAGTGGAGGGTAGAGTCTATTATTTTAACTAATTAAATTCAAATTAAAGCACGACATGAATTTGTCCAAGAGCAAAATATAATTTCTCATAATGAACATGTTTAAAATTTTGACCGTACAGAACTTTTATTTTTATTTTTTAAGAGATTTGTTAATAGTATTTTACGGCATACCAAAAAGACAAAAAAAAAAAAATACAAAATACTTAATACTTTTTTTCCATTTTAAAGCACATTTTATAAATTTCATAATTTTTTTTAATATTTTTACTTTTTATTTTTAAAACACTTTTTTATCTCAATTTTAATTTATTTTTAACGTCTCAATTTTAATAAGATAAAGTAAAAATATATCTCTTAAGATTCGTCAAAAATATAGATTTTTCCCTCATATTTTTGAAAATTACAAATATTAATTTTTTTTTTCTAGAATGTGACTTGACATAAAAAAATAAAATTATCTAATCATTCTATAAGGCCTCGTTTGACAAGTTAACATTTTAACTAAAAGTCAAAAAGTTATTAAAAAAGTCAAAAAGCCAAAAAGCCTATAACTTATACAAAAAGGTCAAAGATTACATTTTCTCTCTAC